CAAATATTGTGCTTACGGTTGTGGTAATTGTGGTGATTATCAGTAGTGGTTATGACATACACTGTATATATCGCTGTCGAGTTGTCTTAAGTGCTGAGCGATAGACACCCTAACCATTGCATTCAATTCATGCAAAAAATATACCTAAAATCACATCACTATTGGTTACACAACTTATAATCGCTGTGTTATGACACATATTAACGCCATTTAAAATTGATTTTAATTGTCTTAAGCAATAAGTGATAATCAGTTAATATATTTACGTATTTGTGTTATACATTACAAGTGCTGGGAAAGGGTGGCGCCGACAATAACAACGACGACAACAACAGCGACACATACCGTAACAAACATACCGTACATAACGGGCTCCGACTCTCCACCGCAATGACCATTGACTTGAAGTGTATCTATCGGCCAATTGTTAGGCTATTGTTCCCGAAAAAGGTGTTAAAACCGAGAACAGTATACCTGAACAATGGGGCCCTACAGCCCACCGGCGCCGCTGACTCGTCCACCCAATCGCAGGCCACGTTTCCGGCCAACATTGTTCGCAACCAGAAATACAACGTGCTCACATTTTTGCCCATAGTGCTTTATAATCAGTTCAAATTCTTTTTGAACTTATTCTTCCTGATCACCGCTATTTCTCAGTTTGTCACTGCCTTAAGGGTGGGCGAGATATACACCTATTGGACACCTTTGGGCTTTGTCTTAACGGTAACCCTAATCCGGGAGGCAGTGGACGATATATTGAGATTCAAACGTGATAAACAAATAAATCGCCAAAATTACAAGAAGCTCACACCGAGTGGCGCGCAGGTGGCCATACATAGCTCGGACATACGTGTAGGTGACTTGATCGTGGTGAGCAAGGACCAACGAGTGCCGGCGGACATGGTTTTTCTCAGGACTAGTGAGAAAACTGGCGCCTGTTTTGTACGCACGGATCAGTTGGACGGCGAGACGGACTGGAAGTTACGGCTGGCAGTGGCCGACACCCAGTGCTTGGACTCAGACGACCAGCTCTTTGGTTGGGAGGCATGCGTTCACGCAGAGGAGCCCCGAAGGGATATCCATAGCTTTACTGGTAAAATCACCGTAGGATTAGGTAAGGCATTACTAATTTATCCTATTTGGTCATTTAATTTTTTAACAAAATTAAATAATTTAAATCTACCCTTAATAAATACATCATACAGATAATCCTTGCCATTTAACATGTTAACTTACATGATTTGAATATTAAAATACTTTATTTATGATTAGATTACAGTTTTTACAGTATTTAAAAAATAGTTTACGGACAAAGTTACAGGTCATAAATTTTATGTTTTTGTCATAGTTATTGTTATAATTTATAAATAATTATTAAGATTTAAATTAACGTTTAAAAATTTATCGTATAATAGTACAACCATTAAAATTATTAACTTAGATAACAGTAAGATTAAATTTTTATAAAATTATAAAATGAAAGTTTGTTATAGTAATAATTTATCAGCAAAATCAACATCTAAACAGATAGAAGTAGTAATAAATTAATGCCTTGATCAATTTAATTTTTACAAAAAAACGTTGAGCTGTATATTGACTTTTTAAAAATTTATAACTTCACTGACCGCACGTCCACTAGACAAATTAAGTTTAATAACAGTTAAATTAAATTAATGCAATTTTAAAAAATAACAGTTTTTACTGAAGAAGTTGATAATTCACATTTAAAACTTACATAGCAATAAGATTTTTTGTAAATTAATATCTCACTCATTTTAATATTTACAATAATAATACAATTTAATTTTTCATCAGTGTTCTTATTAAACATGTTTACATAATTATACAGTATATAATTTTAAAATATGACATTATTATAAATTATCAATCGCATAGGCTAACCCAATTTAATTCATTTACAGAGATGAACGGAATTTTAGCTAGCAACATTATTATTAGTTAACAATTTTATTAAATATTACGTTTTATTTTAATAAACACAGTCAGCAGTAAAGAGATATCGTTGAACATTGAGAACACTTTATGGGCCAATACAGTGGTGGCGTCGGGCACTGCCATAGGTCTGGTTATATACACGGGTCCCGACACCCGGTCAATGATGAACAACAACGAACCCCGAAGTAAAGTGGGCTTGCTCGACTTTGAGATTAACACCCTCACCAAAATACTATGCATAGCACTGTGCGTAATGTCACTGGCTATGATTGTGCTCAGAGGTGAACTACATTTATAGTTTTAACATTATATTAAAACAATACAATTATCCCATGGAAAACAGGGTATTGGGGCTCGTATTACGTAATAGTCTATTGGGTGCGATTTGTAATGGCATTCTCATATATGATACCCATAAGTCTCAGAGTAAACCTGGAGATCGGGCGAGTGGTCTACTCGTACATGATCGGCCGGGACGTGGAGATACCGGGCACAGTTGTGCGCACCACTACAATACCCGAGGACTTGGGCCGTATAGCGTACCTGTTGACCGACAAAACCGGTACATTGACCCGGAACGAAATGGTGTTCAAAAAAATACACCTGGGCAAAATCGCGTACACCACCGAATACTTTGACGAGTTAGTGGCTCTACTCCAGGCCTATTACGTGCCGCAACCGGAACCATCACCTAAAAACTACCATAGTGGTACCAGTGGTTATAGTGGTGGCCACCGGCGCAACCTGTCCAACATAAGTACGGCCAGCTTTACGGTAGAGCGCAGGCGCTATATGCCGCAGCACATGCGCGTTGACTCGTACGAAGTGGACAGGGATAGCGTGCAACGTGTCCAGCAGGCGGTGCTCGCGTGCGCCCTATGCCATAACGTTACGCCCTCGTACGAGAGCTACGACCCGGTGCCCGACAGCCCGGTGGTCAACGAATTGTCTAAAATGCCCCCAATGCCCGACCCCGGTATCATCACATACCAGGCCAGTAGTCCCGATGAGGTAGCGCTGGTACAGTGGACGGAACGCCTGGGCGTAGCTCTAGTATACAGGGATCCGACATCGATGAAGCTCCGGGACCCCAACGGCAATACACTTGCCTACGATATATTGCATATATTTCCCTTCAGTTCGGAGACTAAACGCATGGGTATTATTGTGAGAGAGGTGAAGACCGGAGAGATTACTTTCCTGTTGAAGGGCGCGGACACTGTGATGGCAACCATAGTTACGGCCAGCGATTGGTTACAGGAGCAGTCCGACAATATGGCCCGGAGTGGACTCAGGACACTAGTGGTGGCCAAAAAACAGTTAACTGCCGACCAGTACAGGGAGTTTGATGGCCGGTATAATCAGGCCAAGTGTGCGATGCAGGACAGGGCAGAAAAGATCAGCACAGTTTTGGCAACACTAGAGCGTGATATGGAGTTACTGTGTCTAACAGGTATGAAAATTGTGATTATACTTATTAACTTATCAATTATATTCACTTTAAAGTTTAAAGTATTTGTTATTAATTACATATAATTTTATATGTTTTTGTTTATAAAACAAACAGTGCAACTTTTCTATTAAACAGGGTCATTATTTATATTATTATTTATTTTACAAAAACACATAATTTAAATAAACCGAGATAAGTGACCATATTATTAATTATGTGATTATACAAAACATGAAAGTTAAAATACTTATAAGATAAGAGTTTTTATTAATTGTATCTTATGTGTTATATTATAGTAATAATTAAGTCAGGTCATTTGATATTTACATTTACAGATTTTGCCTATACAGATCTGTAATTGTAGGTTAACAGGTCATAATAAAATTAAGGCAATACATTAAATAAAAGCTGTCATTTAATGTTTATGTAACATTTTAACTTTGCTGTTATGTATGTGAAAATATATACTGGACTACAGCGTAACAAACATAATATTTTATTATAAAAAATCAATAAAATTTATTCTAATTATAAATTATATTACTGTAATTGAAAAATACTGACTAGTAAGACTAACAAGTAAGTCGTACGTCCTAGTAATACGTTAAAGTAGTTTAATTTTTTTTGTTTACCATTATGTAATACCATACACTGTTTAGTGTATTATAATTTAATCACATATTATATTTATATTACTATTATGATAATTTCAAAAATTATACAATGATTTAAATAAAAGCCATAGCCTTTATTGAACCATTAAAAATGCTAACTCACATAATCTTAATGTAAAAATAAATCATACAATTTAACATACAGTTCTTATTTAATTTTTTTTATAAAATGTAGATGGTTATATTACTAAATCTAATATAGCATGATAATTTAAAATAGCTATTAAATAAAATAAGCATGTACTTATATATTTACAAACCACATATTCACTAACCCACAGGTGTTGAGGACCGGCTCCAGGAGGGGGTGGCGCAGACACTGAAGGGACTGATGGACGGCGGCGTAAAGGTATGGATGTTGACGGGCGACAAACTGGAGACCGCCATCAGTATTGCCAAGTCATCGCAATTGGTGTCCAAAATGCAGGAATTTCACATTTTCCCGGCGGTAACCGAGCGCCAGGACGCGCAAAAGGAGCTCAACAATTTCGCCCGGGTCAGCGATTTGCCCTTGGTCATCCGGGACGAAGACCTAGAGCTACTCATGAAATACTATTCGACCGAGTTCTTCGAGTTGGCCGCCCAGTGCCCGGCAGTGGTCTGTTGCCGGTGCTCTCCCACCCAAAAGGCCGAAGTGGTTCGGCTCATACAGGAGCGCACCGGTGCCCGCACTTGCGCTGTGGGCGACGGGGGTAACGACGTGTCGATGATACAGACCGCCGACGTGGGCGTGGGAATTGTGGGCAAAGAGGGCCAGCAAGCTAGTTTGGCGGCCGATTTTTCAATCACCCAGTTCAGCCATATTTACCGCTTGATACTAATGCACGGTCGCTATAGTTACCAGCGATCGGCTACGTTGGGCCAGTTTATTATATACAGGGGTATTATCATAACGGTGTGTCAGGCTATATTTTCGGCCGTTTTCAACGTGGTCTCCATACCGTTATATGCGTCATTCCTGTACATTGGTTACGCCACCAACTATACCATGTTTGCCGTGTTTAGTCTGGTACTAGACAGGGATGTGCCGCCCCGGCTGGTCATCAGCTATCCTGAGCTTTACAAACAGATGAAGGGACGTCCATTGTCGTTTAAAACATTTTTCGTCTGGGTACTGGTGAGCGTGTACCAAGGTGGCGTAATCATGTACGGTGCCCTGTTGCTATTTAACCACGACGACGAGGAGGGGTGGGAATATGGTGATTTCAGTCACGTTACGGACATCACGTTTACGGCCGTAATATTTACCGAGTTGTTGATGATTGCGCTGGTGGTGCGCACCTGGCACTGGCTCATGATAGTGGCGGAGCTGTTGTCGGTGGCCATGTATTTGGTGACCCTTATAATAATGCCCGAGTATTTCGATGAGTTTTGGATCTATAGCCGCGATTTTGTTGGCCAAACGGCACTACTTGTGGTCATCGCTAGTCTACCCCTCTATGGCCTGAAGTATGCGTATAGAAAGCTCGCCCCTCCCAGTCATTCAAAGCTTACTTAATGGGTTCATAATTACCCCTTCCCTTACAGGAGGGCCAACTTGACTAAGTCCCTGCCCTGTCATCTAACTTAATGCAATTTAAGATAATAATAATAGTTTTTTATATAAAAATACATTTAATTATTATTGAATTATTATTTAATGAATATAAAACTGTAAATATTTTAATTATTATAATTGAAATTGTTCAAAACATAATTATTGATTTTAAATTGGATTCGCTGAAGTTCACACTATATATTTTAATTAATAAATATTTAAAACTAATTTACATGAATTTAATTTAGCAATATTTAATTATTGATAGTACCTCGTTAACTCTGCTTTGTCATTTTATTTAATGCAACTTAATATAATAATAATTTTTATATAAATTTGAATTAAATTATTTTTGATTTATTATTTAATGAATATAAAACTGTAAATATTTTACTTATTATAATTTATATTGTTTGACATACTATTTTGTCATTGAAATGGATTAGCCTACACATCACTAATTTATAATTAATTATAAATAATTAAAATTAATTAATATAATCATTATTTTGTTAGTTGATTAATTGAATCAAACCATTGAACAACATTTAATGGCATTATGAATTTATTAAAATATATTTTTATACATGTGAAACTACATCTAACATGTGTAATTTATTACAGAACTGTAATGTGTTTTATAATTTAGATTTTAATTGTTTAAGCTACTATTTAATTTGTAATTTGGGAAATCATGGCCGCGGGATATATTTTTTTTAAAAATTTTTACTATTATAAAATTTTATTTATTTTGAATTATTTTTATTAAAATTTTATTAAAATTTTATAATAATAAGCAATTATTAAATTTTTTTTAAATAACATTACTTGACATGTTATTTTTTGACAAAATATTTTGTCTTTAAATTGGGTACATTGTTGAACAAACTATATGTTGAATTTAAAATTGATTATAAATTGTCGTGAATGTGAATCACCCACTCCTATGAATATTCCAGTCACCTATCATGATGACTTCGATGAGCTCATACACCAGTCATCACACCTATACATCGCCTCATACAGCATACGATACACTCACTTATATACTCATATGTACTTACCTTTATGTCATATACAGGGTATATAAGACCTGCACTTCTCATGTATTATTCGCAGTCATTTGTAAGTCCTCTTCGAAGGCAATACTATTCTCTAATAAATAGTTGTTATATATGTTAAACGAGTGTAGCGTTATTTAGCCCTCACTTAGGGGTTAATACCGTCGGCGGCCACACCTCTAAGTCGTGACAGTAGTGGTCATACTTCGCCCGCAAGTCTGCTCATTACCGACATCGACAAAAGAATTTAAATAAATTAACT